AWWTTTWYAYWTTTYKGACCGAAAAGAATGGAATTCRACAGGCAATGAGAATYTGTCAAAGAATTAATAAAAAATCGTATTTTCTTCTGATTCTTTMACTTCAGTGGCTTCCAGTCATCAATGTAATTCAAGATGGCGGGTAGAATCACAACCAACCGCACGTACCTCGCGAGTCGAAGCGCCAATTTAGGTGTTGACACGAAAATGGCGGATYCTAAGATTTCTTAAGTTATAGTGCGAATCGTTTMCATCCTTCAGTTTGGAAAGAMATCAGTTCCTTTAACKAWGTTCCTCACAGGTACTATCRATCTATAATCTATTGTATGCTTGACGCATTTAAACGTATGTAAACAATAACTCGAGTGCGCGCTGTATTGTGGTTGGTTGGGWTTCTTTAAGGTGATGTACTTTAAATGTACTTAATATGTTGTCTTTCTCAAACTTACGGGGAAACATTTGGCAACACTTGAACTTTTCAATRCAKGATAGTTTGTCACAGGAYCCACGATACAGKCCAGTCATRACATATCCATCCTTGCACTTGCTTGTGCCTTTGTTGTTAAAGCTTACACCAACATTTTGCTCGTAGCARTAGCCATATTGGTATGGATGTTTGGCAGGCTTGCAGCATTTYCCATACTCAATATTATGGAGCCAGCTCTTGTCATCAGTTCTGTAAAGCCCTTGAAGGAAAAATCCATTTGGACAGGTATTCCACCTGTTGGTTCTGTGACAAGAAATAAAGGTTAATGAAAATGATCAAAACATAATGCAAAAGACATTTATTACGGTAAAATAGAAAAGGAGAAAGACATGACTTCCTAAAATCTTTCTTCCATCCTCATTAGGAAGAAAGATTTCAGGAAAAAGAAAAAGTACAGTGCGTGATAGGTTGCAAACCTAAGGTTTCATATAAGGTTTGATAAGTATATAAAGATACTAGTTATAGGAAAACGATTGAAGAAAAGTATGAAAAGCATATATTCTTAATACTGAAGGGAAGAGAATAAGATGACTAGAGTAAAGAACGATTTTGAAGAAGAAGAAGAAACTACAGTGTGAAGTTGCACATTCAAGGTTCCACATTAATAAGGTCGTTCACTGATATTTCAAAGTCAATCTAAACCATACTTATCAAACGATGAAGACCAGTCGGCTGCCTGACACTGGGTTGGTTGGTGATAGTAAGTAGGYTTCCGAGCACAACACTTGGCCTCATCAATCATGCTGATGGTATCTGCATTTCCAGAATTGCTGCTCCTGCACGCAAAGATAAAAATTGTAAATTATGTAATCTATCAAGCCTCTATCTAGCCTCATCCCCAGGCCACTCTTTCTTCCACCTTTGGGCTTCATTTGTAACCGTCATCTTCGCCGCTAGGGACTAGTGACGAGAAGGAAAAATAAGAAGAGGAGGAGTTGCCTGCCAAATATCGAGGTGTGTGGACCATTGCCTCCTCCCCATAGGAAACTCTTTTTTCGTCCTTTGGGTTTCCTTTGTAACCGTTATCTTGGCCGCTAGAGACTAGAGACGAGATAGAAAAAATAAGAACGCCTAGCCTCCCCTCTCTCGCCCCAATTCTCCCTCTTTTGACTTCCAAAAACGACAGGAAGCCCGTGATTTTTTATTGTAGCGGAGCTCCCGCGCGAGCGGAGCACCATAACTTACAAGAAAAAGTTTAACTATTGAATAACTTACCGGTATAAACCATTGAGATAACTCAAATATGAACYACAAGTTGAGTAGCCCGCTTTATCAAAACTTGTTTTCCAGTTTTCCATAGTRCATGCGCCATGGCTGGGAGTCGCAAAACCCACAAAAGCAAATACCAGAGAAAATATCTTCAACATTGTAGTGCGCTATACATTAAAACGGTTAATATCAGTAATTATCTAGAATGAGCGATTTGTTCAAGTACTTAGGTTTTTTTAACATGCATCTAGAATTTTCAAAATTAGATATTTTTATCGATAAGGCCTTTTTTCACACGAAACCACCAAAAACTATTACAAAAACTATGCGAACATTTTACAAGCGGTCGAATACGATTCAAAAATTATTTAGTCGTTTTTTAAACGTGTTAACGCACTTAGTATTATATGGGTCTTAAAAATTATTCGCTAGAATATAATATGATAACAATGTAGTTTATGTTAATTAACTTACCTTTTGAGCCTTCATGCTTAGTCTGCAAATCCGTGGAAGGCGCGCTCTAAATTTCCACAGTGGATGCTAATAAACTATGTTCGCTGTTTTATAATAACATTGTTTAACTAGCTGTTATGAGCTCTGTAATATAGTTTGAACGCCTAAATCAATAAGTTGATTACTCGTATTTGAACAGTAATGTAGTTATTTGCTTACAATACAATAGGCCATTTGCAGCCGCCATCTTGGCCTTGARTGTCATCAGTTAGCACTAGTAATAAACTTACTGCTGTTGGAAATGCGCTATAGAAGTTTGATATACATCCAGGTAAAAACCAAAACATATTAGGGTATTATGAGGTTAAGAAATTCCACTTATTAAACAATAGAAGAGCATAATTAATCATATTTCAAATAAAACGTTAAAACAATGAGAAGACGCACGATTTTACACTCATTTACCTAATTTACTTCGAAAATTATTTCACGGATATTTCGAGCTCTATTCATGGTAAATTCAGAACAACCATGGAATAATAAGAGAGAGTAAGAGAAGTCTTTATTTCTAAGAATGGCTTTAATGAAAAAAAGATTGTATGTTATTTTTCAATTCTGTTCGGAGTGAAAATCTTCTGAAAACTGAAATTATAGTGATTTCAAAACGTCAAATGAGAAAGTTTACCGCAATTATATTTTCATATTATATTTGTAATAATATATTTGCATAGCTGCAGTTCAAAGCATTAAAAAGTTTGTCGAAAACGTCAATATTTTTTTACCAATTACTAAGAGAATTAAACAAATTTTCACCTAAGTGTTTATGGTGCGAAACTTAATGTGTAACGGCTGTTYTTCTTCTCATAGTACCGCTTTTGAGCTAATAATAAGAATGATAGTAAATGAATATATATAGTTCTTTTGTAGAAAATTATTACGATAAATTTTGATACATCATTATCTGGGCTCCCTGTGTTATTTATGACACGTGATCRCCTTTGGACGCCATATTGGATTTTGCCAAAACGAAAAGACAGCTAAGACGAAACAGCTCTACAAATTCTGGAAGCACCGTGTATTTTTTGCAAGCTATARCCCTATTTGCAAAAGAAAATATAGTTGAAAAAGTCTCAACATCGTTTTGAAATAGGCTAACAAGGTAATATTGAGCTTGTTTCGGGGTTTGGAAAGCTTTCCGTGATGTTTCTTGCGAATTTCGATCTTTTTCCGGCACATTTATTTTGTGTGTGTTTTTTTTGATGTTTTTCAGCTCGTGAAGCTGTTCAAACTTTATACCGAATTTTTCAGGAAATAGTTCTACGAAATAATATGTCCTCCAAGTTCAAAAAGGTAGGTAAATGCAAAGTGATTGCAAGCGCGCAGTTTTTTGGAGCATTTTTTAAGATCTATCGACAACTCTTCGTCTCATTCTAATACATTTTAAAGATATTATAAAAATCTTCTATATCTATGGTATAGACATATGATTTTAAAACCTTTATATCATGAAATGTCATAAAGATTTGTATATCTTTCAATGATTTTAAGTTTTTGTAAACAACGATGTAAGTTGTCTTATAACAGGGTGTTGGAAAAGTCGTAGCCATCAACCAAACAACAAAAAGGTTGTCTATGAGTACAAATGACGAYAAAGGCAAGACAGCTGCAACTGGCGCACTAAAGAGTGTAAGTGCAACAACTTAAAGATACTAGTTCATTGTCAAGGTTCTCAGTATTTTTTAAGCTGGTCTAAGCTGGCCTCACAGAAAATAGTGTTTAATCGTTTAATGTTCTCTCTCCCAGACTGTTGACAGAGTTCGATTGAAGCTTAAAGTTGCTGCCCTTCTTGGAGTTGCGAAAGAAGTGGAGTCCGAAAATGCAAAGTAAGAGCATTTCAAACCATCTCATATGATATAAATAATGTAATGTAATGTAACCAAATGTAATGTCATTCTAGAGAGAAGGAATTTGTAGCAGTCTTTCATGCTAAGCAGAATCAAGTAAGATTGACTGACTGATTGATTGATTGATTTGTTGATTGATTGATTGATTGATTGATTGATTGATTGATTAATTGATTGATTAATTGATTGATTGATTGATTGATTGATTGATTGATTAATTGATTGGTCAATTGACTGATTGATTCATTACTTTGTTGATTGATTGATTAATTCATTGATTTACTTATACGCCAGCAAGATGATCCATTGCTGCAAAGCGAGAAGGAAGAAGAAAACATGTGGGACATAGTAGACATGGATGAGGAGGCCGTAGAAGAGTATGCCTCTAATGAACTGGTTGGTCAGTTCTTATCTAATGCAATCTTCAGGACTGGAATCCTTTGTATTATCCTCTTTAACTGCCTTCTTATTGTGGTAGAGACAGATGAAGAACTAGTAAGACTACAGTATACAATTTATCCCCACCCACCCCTCCCCAGGCACATCAAGTGACTAATWTTTTTGTCTGTCTGTCACAAGGAAAGAGAATACAACCATTTGTTCTCAGTCCTTGACCAGTGTCTCATGACCATATTTGTCTGTGAAATCCTGGTCAAATGGTACCATGGCTTCTTCATGTTCTGGAAAATGGGATGGAATGTCTTGGACTTTTTTATCGTTTCTTCACTACTCCTAGGTCCATGTAAGTTTAAGGCAGCTACCATTGCATGATGGGAATGTTTAGGGGTAGGGGGAGATGCCTTTAATGCTATGGGACAGAATATCTTGGACTTCTTTACCATTGCTTTCGATTCCAAAAGGATCATGTAAGTTTAGAGCAGCTACTATTGTATGATGGGAATGTTTGGGAGTAGGATGGTGATTGAAGGATTTGATTAATGCTAATAATAATTAATTAATAATAATAATTAAAGAAATATAAATAAATAATAAATATGTCAATCAATTTCATTAATTGTAGTGTTAAGTAAGGACTCAGGAAGTCGAGGAGTATTAAGGATTCTCAGAGTACTAAGAGCCTTTAGGAGTTTAAGAAGGTAGATTGACAGTGACAAATCTATATTGCAAAGCAGGTAGCCTTTTGATAAATTTGATATCAAAGRGCTTTTTCATTTCATTAATGTTGAAATGTTTCCTTGTTTAGTATTAGCTCGTTACCAGGGCTACAGATCGTGGTGCAGACAATTTTACAGTCCATTCCAGGTAGGGC